TAAGAGAGTGTTGCAGGTGTTTCACCACAAAAATTAATACTTTGAGATTTTCCTCTTTTACCTGTACGTTTAATGATACTTTCCCGATGCAGTGACATGTTTTTCCTTGCGCCGCTATAATTTCCGTATTTCTGGTTTTAAAGAGTCGTATCCTATAAAAATTCTTTTTGAAGAATTTTCACTCATGAAATTTCCTTCTGCTCTCCTGTATCGATGAGGGCTTCTACTGGTACATCGCCAACCAGGACTTGTATAATTGGTAGCTGTGAGTTTTTTACGATGACTGTATTTAAATGTCTATTTGAGGGTTTTTTTTAAAACTTCCGGGGTCTGGACCCTCCCTTTCACAGGCCCTCTAGTCGTTTAAAGCTTTCCTTTCAATCTGTGTCTTCTGGGTACGCGGATGCTTATTTTCAAATTTTCTTTTTGGGCCTTGACCTTCGAGTTTCGATGCGTTAGCTTGATAGTTCTTTCCCCCATATGAGCGATTTTCCATTTCTGGTTTCCTCCTTCCTTCGGGTATTTGAGAATATGTTTCCCCTCTCGCTTTTTCCGCTATTCTGCGATTTTGAAACTTCACCGCCAATTCGAAAAGTTCCTGCAATGTGTTTGGGTTTCTAATTTCAAAGTAGTCTTGGACAGCGGGTAACAATCTTGGTAATATTATTTCAATAATCTCCGCATCGGGTTTTTTTCCATACAGCATGTCCGTTAGCTTGATTTTTCGTAAAATAAAGTCCGTCAAATCTGCTGTATCCCGTTGATAGAAACTATATAGCTCGGCTTCCAGCCGTGCGCGATCTTTTACTATGGGGAAGGCCTTTACTAACGATTTTTTGAAATTTTCAAATGTATACGTCGGGCTTCCAAATTCACCTAGAAGAAATTTGCCTATATTTTTCCACCATAGCGCGCGGCCTGTCCTCTTAGTGCTGATGTGGCGATGGCAACTTTTTGTCTTTCAGGCACAGGGTAGAGCTGAAAGTGGTTTTCTATACCTTCTAAAAATACGGACACACCGAATTTTTTCCGTCGAAATAGACGTTTGGCTTGATTGATGCTCTCAAAGTCTGGACCAGGTATCCAAATCCTTCTAACTGCGTTGTCATTTCTTGGTGTTGTCCAGCGGCTTCCATCCAGTTTTCGGCCATTTCAGTTCGATAAGTGTTCGGGCGCCAATATAACGTTGCGCGCCTCCAACTTGCACGCAACCAAGAGGTGACTGTGAAAGCTTGTATAAACCAGAGAGAAGCTTGTAAAGGGTTTAAGTCCCTTTTTATTCAACGTAATAAATTACAATTGCGTTCTCTTGACGCTTACAGACGGTGCCAACTTGGCAGTCAAATAAAAATAATAACCTGAAAAGAAAATAAAGACAAGATTCTAACTACGAGGCTCTCTAAAATAACTAACTAACTCACCGCGTTTTACAATACCGCTGCTAATTCAGCAGACTTGAAGCTCACTGGAACAATTGACCACTACTTCCCGCCAAGCACATAGGCCGCAACGCGGGGTTCTTCAATTCTCGCTAACTACCTCCGCGCTCGCTAAGTAAGAAGAATCTCTCACACCGAACTTGTTTCCTTCTATTTAAATCATAATACTTCCGCTGATAATTTGAATGCTTGCGCGTTCTACTCAAATTTACATATTCTGGCATTGGCAGTTCCAGGGGAAAGTAAGGCTTGACAGGAAAGATAGTTTAAACTTAAAATAAATGTTAGTTAAAATAAATATAAACCCTACAAGCTATTTATTAAACAAAAGGTAAAGAGCAAAAAAAATGCTATATGTTTGATATTATTAAAAAAAATTAGCGTTTTTCCCCTGGAGCAAATTACAAAAAAACCTTTTACAAAAACCAATATTACATGGTTGGTATGATTTTTAATACATTGTATGTCTCCCAGACTATGCAATACAGTCTGTACAACGCCTAGGAATGGTGAGTATCAAATTATCGATCTGATCTTGGGCGATATTACACCACTCAAAAAGCAATACTCTTCGAAGTTCCGGTAGGAGGAGGTTGACGGGCTGCAACTCGTCGGCCAAGCATGTCCCACACGTGCTCTACTGATTCAAGTCCGGTGAGAATGCTGGCCAGTCCATACGGGTGATATCCTCCGATTGAAGGCATTCGCTTACGATGTTTGCACGGTGAGGACGGGCGTTGTCATCCATAAACACAAATTGTGCGCCCATGGCACCCCGAAACAAACGTACATGTTGTTCCAGAATGACGTCCCGATAGATTTGACTTGTCATGGTTCCAATTTGAACATGCAGGTCAGTTCTGGAACCCAGAATAATTCCACCCCAAACGAGCACTCCTGCACCACCGTAACGGTGTCGTTCAATGATGTTTTCTTGGTGGTAACGGAGACCTGGAGCTCTCCATATGAAAGTCCGGCGAGAATCAGACTGCAAGCTAAACCTGGACTCGTCGGAAAACATCACACAACCCCACTGTTGCGGTGTCCACAATGCATGCTCTCTACTCCAGGCTAACCGCAGGCGACAGTGAGTTGCAGTAAGTGGAACGCATCTGACAGGTCTACGAGCATATAGACCAATCTGCCCTAAGCGTCTGTACACGGTCTGCCTTGAAATTGTCGTACCAGTGGCTGAAGAGAGCTGACGAGACAGGTCTGAGGCTGTGCTCCGCCTGTTTCTTTTGGCAGTAACTGCCAAATACCGGTCCTCATTCGGCGTTGTAACTCTAGGGCGACCTGTGCTGTAACGTCTACTCACATTACCATCATCTTGGAATCGTTGCCAAAGCCTGAATATGACACTCTGGGCAATTCCAAGTTCATCTGATACTTCCAGTGGGGTACGCCCCCATTCCAGACGGCCGATAATTCTACCACGTAAAAAATCATCCAAATGCGTACTTTGTGTCATAACTATTCGGTTATTGCACTGAAATGCTTACAAAGCGCCTGCGAACAACTTTACTTCTTTGCCTTTATTCCTTATATATCACTCTCTTACACTCTCGTCATTGTGACGTACCACCGGTGATGGTGGTCACTCGTCATTGTGACGTACCAACCAGATGTCATCTGGTTACTTCCTGAAATTTGCATATGATTCTTGAAGATGTGTGTAGTGATTTTACAGGTGATATATTTATTTTAGAGTTCGATTTCCGCGTGATTATCCTTAATTTATATGAGTGTATATAATACTCTACAGAGTAATATTCTGTGCAGTTTTTAAATTTAACGTTTGGTGATCCCTTCAGGCATTTTTCCGGTACATTTAAAAGCCAGACGAAGGCTGGCCGCGTAGCGGCTAGTAACGAAATAAAACTCTTTTGCGGACGAGTGCATAAAAGCTTTATTACAAAATTCCTAACCTTCTCCTACCCGTATTTTGTTGTCCCCGTGTTTCCCATCTAATCGAAATCCTTCTTCCCTCGCCTCTGCATATAAAGATGGAGGTCACACCTGGGTTTCGAAAACCTACTCACTTCTCCTTGATAACCGAAAAACGATCGGTTCACGGCTTCACTCTGCACGACGCCATTGCGCCCACGCTGACCTCAGGCAGCATGCAGCGGAACACCCAAAATTCTTTACCCTGTTGGGAGGGGTTTATAATAAACTGCTTTACTACACAAACAGTGCTCTTACAGCCATCCTACTAATACAATGTCATTTCAGAGCTCGACATAAACTGACAAGGTAGAAACGCAGTGTGAGGAAATCGAATATGATAACGATGAAAATGATGACAGTTCTGATGAATCGATAGCGAAAAGATGTGGTAATTAGCGGTAGCGTCGGCACTTGGCTAGTTGAAAATAAAATTATACAAATATAGTTAATTTGTTTGCATACAGGAGCGCGCTTTACCTTTTTGTCTCTTCTCTAAAAATATATAGGCATGACTCTAGCTGGCATTCTTTCAATGTGAAAAGAAGTACATTATCCGGCCTTTTTTACTTACTCATATCATTTATTTATTATATATAGTATCTAAACTAAATATATATATATATATAGTCATATATATTTAGAATTCTGCGAAACGTATTTTACTTCGGATAAAATTAAAGAAAAGCATGTGTGGATGACTGCATTCCTTATATTGCTACTTTACTTTATCACCATCATAAATGCACATTTTTGCTGCATATGAGACTATAAAAAAAGTGGAGAGATAAGCTAGACAAGTCTGATCATTGTTCTATGGTATAAAAGTGAATAAAATTATTTTCCATCAGAAAGTATAAAATTATTATTAAGAAATTCATATTGCTTATAATTTTTATTTTGAAGTAATTAAACTGGAAAATACTCATTGTAATTTGAAAGATTATAAAGATCTTACACTACGTAACAGGTGGCAATAGCTTCATATCCCCCAGGGTAGATTGTTAGAAAAGTAGTGCATCTATTCCATTAGTACTAAGGTAAATTCCGGAAATGTAATCTCTATGTGAAAAAAAAATTGTGTTTGAAAATTAAAGCGTGATGACAATATCCGTGTCATATGAATTTTAGCGGAACGAGAAGTTACAGTGAACTTGAGTTTTTGTAAACCTAAGTCCTTGTTGCTATTTTTACGTCTTCCTCATTCAACTGCATTTTATTTAATTTTATGGGAATTAATGAATCTTAATATATTACTGCTATGACTTAATTCAAATGCATTATCCTGTTATGATTTAATTCAAAATGCATAATGCACTTCTAATATGTAAAAGTGATTTTCAACCCGTTCAAATTAGTGGGGCACTATATTCGGTATGCTATATGGTACATATTATTATCTGTATTTTCTCTTTTATTTAATACATTTTTGTTTTCTCACGGCATATCTACGTGGTTTCACTCTACATCCTTTGATAATCAATAATACATATCACCTACAAAGAACAGCAGGTTTATAGCAGGCAGTTTTATACTTTTCAAGAACCTTTTGTGACAACTACAAAAGGAGATATATATGTTTGCACTGATGCCACTTATATTTTCCGTTTTCAGTTCTTCGGATTCGTGGGTGCCATCTTGTATGCGGCAGATTGCTACAATAAGTACAAGTGCTGGAGGGATGGCATTCCAGCACAGGGAGAGAAGCCTCTGAACCCGATGGGCATGCCCGTCTCCCCCAACAGCCCCAACTATGCTGCCTATTGAATGCCTCGGACCCTCAATGGTGAGTTCGTTTCTGTACTACGTAATTACTTGGGAGAGGAGGAGAATATAGCACAATTATTTAAATATCCTTAGCGAGTGTGGGAAAATAGAAAATTTTGTCAGTATTTTATGGAAACTCTTATTAAATGGGTGTATAAAAGCTGTCTATCATATTTTCAAATTTTCAAAAGTTCTGACCTGAGTAGCTCCAGTTACTCTGAGCGATAGATATCTGCCATTGTATAAGTACAATGAAAGAAGCTAAAATCTATTTAAAGACCTGGTTTTGAACAAATTATAAACGTAGCAGCCAAAAAAAGTGTAAACAGAGAGGGACGTCCAAAAAGAAATGAATAATCTGCTAAGAAAGATTTTCGTTAGAGTTACAAGCAATAAGATCCTATTTGATGCCTTTCAGAATCACGGCTTCCAAAAGAGAAGGCCTGTAAATTATTTCTGTGAAATTAACCGAACATTTTAGACTTTCAGCTTGAAATATAATAACAAATACTGAGCGATTTATACAGAACTAGATTCAAGTTTTGAAGTAAAGTCCGGAATAAATGAACAAAAATTGTCGAGAACTTTAGAAAACTTATTTTGTCTCATGTCGGATCAAAATACATCGCGTCATGTATTAGAAGTATGTACTGTCCTTCGCTAAACAAACATATTGACTTTTGCTTCTCTTTACCGTAAATCGTGATCTTCTTAGATGTAGAAAAGTAAGATGATGTAAAACTCCAGATGTATTTGCAGCAAAATGGCATGATTTTTCACATGTCTCCACTGCAGATGTTAAATACGAAGAAACTAAGTACTGCATAATTTGAAAAAGTACAGTACACATAAAAAAGAATTTTATTTCCCACATAAGGAAACGCCTGTTTCCAAAGGTCCGGCGCTTATTTATGTGGAGTTATATCAAGAAAATATTTCGCGACAAGTTCTATTCAAAAGTAGAGAATGTCATTATCGAAGAAGACTGAAATATTGGTTACACACAGTAAGAGTTTACAATACTTGAAGAGATACGATACAGTTGCTGAAAGTGCGTAGTTTCTCATTTATATGGGCCTAGCTGAATACTGAGGTACATTCAGCATATTAAATGATGCATGCACATTAGAAATGAGGAAAAGTAAGTACATCGAAGCTCTGGATACTTTTTGTCCATTATTTTCCGAATATTTTGACTTTAGCCGTGAATGTGAACCCAAATTATTTTGTATTAACTTAAAGGATCTAAATAGGAATTGAGTGCTCTCGAATGAATAAATAACTTCTCACTCTAAGTTACAGAATAATTCAGCACTTTTCCATAAAAGGTCTAGCTCAGCTTCAGAGCCTAAATTCATTATTCACAACACCAGATACTGGCGAAGACAAATTCGAAGTTCGTATGCAGTATAACTGCTGTAAAATTTGTGGTAGACCCACGAGGGTCCGAGTCGCTGAACGCTGGTAGTTCGGTCCGGGGTTCGAATTCCGGTGAATGGGTTGGCTGCAGAGCATTCTCGCGGCCTTCCCCATGTGTATACGAGCTAGTTTCCCATGCAGCCAGCCCGTTTGCGGGATTTGAACTTCGGACCGCACTACCAGTGTTTTGCGACTTAACTGCTCGGCCGCTGTTGGGCCTGAAAAACAATTTAAGAAATACGCAACACCAAATCAACGATGAGAAAATTTTCAAAGAAACAGATGCTCAGTGAATCACAAGCAGAGTCAGGCGGCGCCTAGAGACAAAGAAAATATAAAATAAGATGTCCCTTAAAGACAGTTACCAGATGTTTTCATGAAATAGACTTTTTTGTTGTTGAAACTTTTCATTATACATTCCTCATCATTTTCCCGTTATGCCACCTATTCTCTTCTTCCTATGGATACAGAAAAGTTAAATTAATTTTCGTTTATTTTATTCTGTTGTATATATTTTTTAATATATATATTTTTTACTCTCTTCTTCCTATGGATGCAGAAAAGTTAAATTAATTTTCGTTTATTTTATTCTGTTGTATATATTTTTTTAATTTTAGGTTTAACGATTTTGATTGATTTTGTTATGAAATCGTGCATAAAACTTTGCTGTAAATTTAAATGTGCAATCATCTGTGGTCCAGAAACGAATTAATCCACTTTTCATTAATTTCTACTGGGAAAATTTCGGTTTGCAAACATTTTGGTTGACGAACGTCCTTCACGAACGAATTAAATTCATGAACCGAACTTTCACTGTATAACTCTTTTCGCTTCTTCAGAATGTCGATATTCCGTGCTTAATAACAATATTTGATACTTGATTTTCAGTTTTATGTTGTTATAAATATTTAATATAAGTGTAGCGTATTTAACGATATGATTCCATCCTTTTATAAAGTGAACCATTAGAACAGCAATCTTCATTTAGTACAAGGAAAGCCTAATTCCAGACTTTCTCTAGCTGAAAATAAGTAAACATGAACAGCATTTTTGTCTTATTACATACCCCTTCCCCTCATTTAAAAAGTTGAGGAAAAGTAGTTATGAATTGTACTTTTTTTTTTTTTATTTTGAATTGAATTTCATATTGAACTGCTTTTGCATTTACCTCATTTACTAACGCTTTATAACACCAATTATACAAATTTCAGATGCCCTTTTATGCACAGTTTCTCTTTGTAACGGACGGAGTTGTACTCAGTGGCGTAGCTAGGGTGGGGCAAGGGGGGACATCTATCCCCGGGCGCAGCATCCAAGGGGCGCCAAACTGATGCTACGAAATTTTTTAATGAAATGTTTTCCATTTTTGGCCCACAGAAAGGGACGCAAATTCTTCAGTTGACCCCGGGCGCTGGAAACTCTAGCTGCGCCCCTGGTTGTACTTTTATCTTTATATGCAAATCATGCAGTTAATATGAACCAAGATAAAAAGTAACCAATTTTTTTTTTTTTTTTTTTTTTTTAGCTCGCTGACGGTTCGAGGACTTCAGCAACGTTTACCAGCTACCCCAAGAAATTTGGAAGAAGAAGAAGAAAAGTAAAGATCATATAATAACGCGGGTTGCATGTTACAATTACGTGCTCGTCGTAAAGTTCAATAACTTCGTTGTAAAGGATAACCAGCGGAGGACTACTTAGAAATGGTTAAAGCCCACCATATAGACGGCGGTTACAGTTCGATGCATCTCTCAGTAAAAAAAAAAAAAAAAAACTGTGCATGGGCAAGCTTCTTGTGTAGGCATTCTCCATCCCAAACCTTCGATTCTGCTCTATTTTTGCGTGTAATATAAGTGATTAAATGACTGTGCAGCTTTAGAATTTTAGCTCAGCAAATTCCTCAAACCGTTTACGTTGTGTGTAGCCCTGTGCTGCCATCTACTAGTGATAGAAGGAACTATATATGTTCCCCGATGGAAGATGACTGAAAGAAATTGAAGGAGGCTCTGTTTCCTTAAAACTGTGCATGCGCAAATTCGAGATGAGTTTAGAGCCACTTAATTTCTGGCTGTTGAATATTATGTTCCACTGACATAGCAAATAAACTGAACTTTTCAGCAATTTAATTTTCAAAATCACGATTGATAGCGCAGTGCACTGGGAATATTTATCATTACGATAATCTTTGCAGGTGATTTCTTTAGCTTCTTTTATTTCAAAGCACATTATAGAATAGCATGGAAATGAGAAAAAAAGACTGTAAGATAAAGTTCTTTCAGGGTAATATCATCCGCTGAAAACTTGAAAAATCTATTATGAATCTTATCCAAATGGAATGCTTAGGCGAAGTATACCATCATTTTACCACAAAACACAACTAAAAGAGCACATTTATTGTAACAAACGTACTTAGGAAAATTAAATAGTATATAAATGAACTTAAAATATTTCCACTTCATTCGCTCCGGTTGTTTAAAAGGTATAAGAATAACATCTGATTGGTAGGACTGATCTTTTCTTTGGCTGACCCCTTGTTCATTGACAGCAAATGCCCATTACCTTCTATACTTGACTAGAAATCAGAAATATCATGAAATAGATTTTCTTTTTGGAACAACTTATTTCAGCAAGATTTTAAAATGCTGGTTCATCAATTTTTATCATTAATATGGGTGTATTTCACTATACGTGCTATATATACTTTATACTATATCTACCCATTCTAGTGCACCAGAAGCAAATGTAAAATAAGAACATAAAATTATGCAACAACGACTTTTTTAAATAATGCAATACATCAGGGTGGTGCATTTCTTCTAGCGTGTCAAGAAATATAATTTTAAATGTTGAAACACACATTTTTTTTCCCCCGTAGAAGATATATAAAAGTAACATCATACAGTTATAAGGAATAAAATGCTTGTAACACACTTAAGAGTTTATGACAATTGTCAAATACAGAGTCACAGTATCACCTTTAATACTCTCGATTTGTGGTCTGTGAAATTATTGCACTATTTTATGTCTACGTTTCTGCTAACAAAGTTTATACCTAAAATATCTATAGATAAGATCTAAAGATATTAAGGTATAAAAGTATCTGCTACAAAAACTTATTGTTTAAATCATGAATGACTATTCATTTGTTAGGATATGCAAATCATATCTTGGTGCAGATTAATTACATCACACAGAAAACTCCGATCTTCTAAGCTAGAAAATCAATACAAGTATTACAGAAAAAAACGGTTACAATTTATTCTCAGAAACATTTCTAATATTGCCCAAATCTTTTAAAAAAAAGTACTCAAAATATTTAATGAAACACTCATCAGAATATCAGGAGACGATAACTCCCCCCATTCCTTTTATATTTTGATAGCATTTAAGAATAAATTAGCAACTGCAGCATTTTTCTTTACATTAGCTTTTTTTTTTATATTACTACTAATTTTATAATTATTTTTGTTTCTGCTTTGAGAAATATTTAAGTGATATATTAAACTTCAAACTGAAAATAGTAGCAGTTTTTGATAGGACCCCAAAAAAAAAAAAAAAAAAAAAAAAAAAAAAAAAAAAATGAAATTTTCTGGAAGTATGCAAATCTGACAAAAATTAAATGTAGACTTAGGATTACATAAAGAGAATTTAATAAATAGGCAGGTTTTTTTTTTTTCCCCGTTTATAAGTTCTTTTCTAAATGCATTTATTTTTTAAATCAAATCCTTTCATTTACCTTAATTAATTTTGCTACCCTTCCAAAAGTGTCATTCCAAACTAAAATATATATATATATATAAATAAAAAAAGAAAGATAAGCGGCTTGTATAGACTTAATTAAAATGTTAATCCAGTATTTTTAAATGTTGAAGATCTATATTTTTTTCCAGTTTTTGGATCTAATTATGTAATTGGGAGTCAGTAAGATTTTTACCAAACAATTGTTGAATATACTAAAAGAATAAATATTTATTCTTCATGATTAAAATTTTTTAAATAAATTCTTGCGCATATGGAAAAGACACACACCAACGTAAAATATAAAAATCCCAAAATAAACGACCTTAGATTGGCGTAGGTTTTAGACCAAGTTTTATTGACTTCCAGAACTAGTGTATCTTGGTTTTAGAAGAGAAAAGACCTACTATTAATCGCCCTCAAAATCGAAAAGAGATCTGAATAAAATCTAAGCGAAATTCAGGTTGTCATGTATTTAATTTTCTAAAACGTTTACATATTGTTATAAATGCACAGAATTTTTAATTCTGTGTATTTACCATATTACATATTTAAATTTTAACTATATTACCTCTTCTACTGTAGCAACAAAATGTTGTTCGTAATAATTATTGCACCACCCTACCTAAAACAAAATTCATACTATAAATCGTAATAGAAGAAAAACATAAGAAGAGTTACACAACCAATGAATAAAATAATAGTTTAAAAAATGGTTTGTAATTTTTCGAATATTTATTTTCAAACAAGTAATTGTTCAAACATTTGACTGATTCTGATAAGAGTATTTAAAATATGATTTTTTCCGTAAATAAGAACTGTTATGTTTCATAGTAATGCAATCATTTACAAGATAAATTTAGTTGTACTATGCTTTATGAACTATGAATATCTCGAATATTTCTGCTCCTAATGTATGTTCTATGAAACGAACGATGTATGATATTTCAAAGTGTAAATGTAACATAGCCCTTAACTGTTTTATAGAACTAGAATGTAAAGCTATGTTTTAAAAGAATAAATAAATAATATAAAATATAATGTAATAAATGACTTGAATGTTAAGCATATTCTGGGACCACAATTAGTGGTTAGATATATCATTTACAGTGGGTCAAATGTTTAGAGATTGCAAATTGTGATTTCTGTAAAAGCTATTGTATGGATTCTTGATAACAGCAATAGCACTCATTATAATTTACTTATCGTCCGATGTGTTAATTTGATTGATTTGCAAAGCTAATCACCTTCAAAATTATCACGAAATACATGTCATAAATTAAATGCTATTCAAATTCAAGTAATGGTATAAAAATTAAATTAAGTGAATTAGAACGTATACTTCATTACCATTTACTACATTTTATGAATGAAGGATATTTTAAATCATGTTTGCGATTTCTCTGTGAATTAGTGTATTTGTTAAAAAAATTCTTTACCTCACCTTTAAAGCAAATTTCTAGTAAGTTATTAATTACAAAATTGCATAAATAGCTTTCTTATATTTTTGAAAAATATGCAGCAGTAAAAAACCGTAACATTTATTGACATATCAAATAACACTCAACTCACTTTACAGCAAATGTTTACAACAATAGGAAACATTTGTTCGTCAGTTTTCGGGGTGGAATGAACTGTTAGAATTTTGAATTTAATTTAATACTGTTTTGAAGCTTAAGACGATGAATCCTTTCCACACACTCATAAGCGTACTTAATATATTTTTTCATCGTACGATTTCTGTAAAAATTGAACAATTTCATTAGAAAAAAACCCTGATCATTAATACACAGAATTAAGTGTTTTGTGAAATCTATATGCAATTTTACTAGAAGTTTATTAATTTCTAAGAGAAAGTTCCAAATATTTTCAAGATTTTCCAGTGACATAACTGACAGTTCATTTAATAATTCTTGACCTAACCCCAAGTATCTTCTATTTTATCAATATAAAATTAACTTTGAGATGAGCTGAAATTGCTCATGAGCGGAGAAATTGACCTTCCTTATTTAATTTCCTAATAAATCAATCTGTTCGGTAAATCTATTGTTTTTTAACATTTTATAAATACCAATATCACAAAAAGAGGTCCGAGTCAGAGGATTGAAGTTGAATAATTAAATTAATCCGAGTAACTGATAAAGACTCTTCGAGTTTATGTCCATGTTTTTGGATCAGAAAAATCTCAAACGTGACAGCCGTTATTTTCTATCTAATATCACGCAAAACCTGTTTTTTAATTTCTTGAAATCGTTCCCCAGTTGCTGCTCAATGGATTACTTCAGTGACTTTAAGCTCATCTTAAGAATCCCTAAGTTCATCTTATGAATGTGCTTTGAGGAAAAAATAACTGCCTGATACAATTCCATAGAAAATTATCCGAACTCAATGATATGGAGGAGAATGATGTGGCAAAACAAGATAGGAACAGATCAAAAACCTTTCCTCATGTCCAAAGTATGCCCTCACAGATGCAAAATTTTCACTTCTAGTTTAGAGTACAGTTCTATCGTTGGTATGTGAAAAGATATTACGTTAATAGTGTTTTTTAAATAATATTTAGGATCTGTAGCTGTATCATTTGTAGACCGTAGAATATCAGAACAGGCATTCGGTTATTCGAAAAATACGAGTATTTGTTCTCCCTTCTTTCCCTACAAGTTTATTATATTACTACGGTAATTTCATTCCTTCATTTTTCATATTTTATTTCAATAAATACTGCATTTAAAACTTACTTTAAAAAATTATGTAAGTATAAAAGTTTAAAAACTATACTTCTCTGCGAATAATAACATAATTTAATATTTGCCTAAACACACAACGACTTATTTCTATTTCAATAAAATAATGAAAATAATTTCCGTTTACGAAAGATATAGAGCCAAAATATAACCTTACTTTAATGTCCTAAAATTAGGTAAATATTTGTTATTGATTAGCATACAGTAGAATGTATATATTTTATTTCTATTTACTTAAATGTCAAATAAAAATTTTATGTCTCATTAACCTGAATTGCCATTAAAACAGACGTACACTTTTCGTAAGGCGCTTTTATTCTATTTTAATTAAAAAAAAAAAAAAATTATACCAAACCACACATCGTATAGTGTTAGAAACATCTTTCAGTAAACAAACTATTAGCGCAAGAGCTTATAAAAATTACCAGTGATATATATTACAAATCGCATGTACAACTTGTATATGCTTTATACATTTACTTTTTTACTTTTATACGTATTTGTTAAGAATTTAAATTTGTTTAAATTTAAATTTCATTCCTTGCAGCAATGGCGCAAAGAATATTTAATTAAATATGTATTTAAATTTAATTTTTTAAATTAAACTCAATTTATTCTTATGAAACAATTATTCTGATTAGAGATATTATAAAAAAAAATTTTTTTAAAGTTAATGTAGGAGTTACGAAAAACTACATCTAAATTGCTAAAAATTCTTTAATACAGTTGTAATTAGGAAGATAACAATTTCGTGTTTCGTCGAATGACAACACTGTGGAAACTCGTTATTGGCCAGATAGTGTGAAACATAAATTGCCGATATTATATCTTGTCAATACCCAGTAACATGGAAGATAAATTGCAGAGTGATAGACTACAGGTAAAGAATTGTAATATTAAAAAATTGGAGAATAGTCCGCTAAAGGCATATGTAACTTGAAAACATATAAGCACATTAATAACATTTTATTTAGTCTCATTTCATTCAGAGAACTTGAATTCTAACACATGGGATATGTCTGACATAGTACTGCAGCTCATCGCAGGCCATAATTAAAAATCTGTATGTTGCAAAGCATTTTTTCAAAAAATAATAATAATTCAGATTGAATTCAAATTCATGCACTTGTAGCTTTGATTTCGCGAAATAACACATCGGAAAATATAACTGACCAGAAATAGGCTTAATATCAACTTGCCCACCGTTAATACATCTTTCTTTAACTTTGCTGTTCGTAACTTAGAACACTGGTGCTTACGTAAGGACAGTTCTTGCTGTGTAAGGATCTCACGTTCGTGTTAACGAATTTTATCTGAAGTAACGGAACCTAGCGGCAATAACAATCATTTATGCCTCGTATGTATTATATGTAATTTGTGTGGAAATTTTATTGCCTTTATAAGAAATAAAACTGGGCAAAAAATTTGGGTGTATAGTCGTGAATGTAGATTTACTGAGTACTGAACATTTCTTATCCACCTTACGTACTGTAGAATTTAAAATTCTGTAGATATGTTCATATAGATACCTTTTTTTCATTAATTTGATATCTTGTTATATATATATGCCTTTTATGAGTCTTCCAGTCTTTTTTGGTGAATCCCAAGTCGTTTTAAACCAATGAACTTAGTGCATACTGAGTTTATAAAGTAGATATTTTTGTTTTTTAATGTTATTATCAATTTTTGTTTAAATTTCTAAACCTCCTTTCTTTTTACGGTTCAGCTACTTGAAGAAAACTAACTCGAGATAAAAATAATTTAAAGAAAATTTAGGCATTTTTTGGCCAGAATTCTATAAATGTTAGTTTCACACGGCAAAATAATAATACTAATAATGATGATGATGATTTTATGCATACTTTAACATCCCAATCATTAAAGATTAATTCGCTGAGCTTTTATAATTTTTTTTTCGAAAATCAGTATGCATTGGGTACATTTAAATTGCTGAATAATTTATTAAATTATCTTTTCCTTTTTATGTTTTCCTCTGCCTGCAAAAAATCATTACCGTAATTAAAATAACTCGAGGTATGTATTACGATAAATGAAACTGTAATTTAATGTATAAAACGCAATAAAAAGTAATTCAATAAAATGTTTAAAATTCAGTGCTTCCCAAATATAAAATAAATGAAATCCCATGATATAATAAATGTATATGTGATGTTCAGTGTGTTGATGCTTGTATAATCTCATTTTCCACAGTTACATGACACAAACTTAATAATTAATAGGAAACGAGTTTTCAAATCCTGTGTGATTGTTTCACTTCAAATCGCATGAATTTTAGGAACAAATTTCAGTTACAGAGAAGACTGCAATTATACTTTCATATTTTATTTTTTCTCTTGCCTCCAAATGATAATGTATCTGCTGGTTGATAATTACCGCAAGTTTTCGAAGCGTCTGGTCACAATAAAATATAATAAGAGTAAGAAACTCTAAAGTATGTTTTCAGATTTGAAAATTAACAGTGAAACATTATTTTTTTAATATTTTATTCATTTTAATGCTTATTATTGTTTGATAAGTTTCAAAAATGAGTAAATTATTCGAAAATAGTTGAATTTTACCTCATGTTTTCTTTCTTAAACTATGTAACATTTATAAGAACACACAGTGTTTTAATGTTCAAAGAAGCATTCCTTCTATTCCTTTGCAGGTAGTGTCAAGTGTAATAATTAGTCCGTTAAGAATATTTAAATTACTTAAGATTTATATTATGATTAAGTACAAAAATTTACAAAATGATTTCAGAATGCATTTTTACTTTTGCTGTTGTTCTTCGCTTTCGTTGGCAACGTATCCAAAATCTTTCAAAATAAATATATTTTAAGCTTTTTAAAAACAGTACTAAAAACTGTGAAAATAATTTTTCTTTGATATGCTCTAGTTTAATTTGCTCATTATGATTAAGCCTGAGGTTGGTTTTAAAATTTATAGGCTCAGATGAAGGGTTTTGGGTAATAGCATATTCATTTTTATTATTAGTTAATTATCAGCAAATGGAGTTCAAACACTTAAATTTTGCTTGGGCGTAAAACTACAGACTTTTCACGAAGAAAATAGATTCTGTGAAGATTCGTTTAGAAGGATGAGTATTTTTACATGCACAAATTTATTAATGACTGAAATTGTCTTAAAAATCTATGAATTGTACCAAATAAACAACATAATTAATTGTATCAACATGATCCTGTTTTACAGAATGAATGGCTATATAAGTATGTTTCTGCGACAAATCATTCTTTAAGTATCAAATTTTCGAAATATAAGTATAAAATTAATCAGAAGTTCATACCAATTGTTCTTAAGAGTGTCGAATATCAAACATCTTTCATGGGGCTATAAGGCATTTTCCCCTCCTTTCTGCATACCTTCATGGTGTAACGGTAGCACACTCGGTGCGCATTCGTGAAGTCCAGGTTCGAATCCCGACGAAAGCATTTCTCATTTTTCATGTCTCCTACTCCAAAAATCTTAATGACTCTACAGGGCGATTCATAATTCCGTGATATCAATCAAGATAAGCAATTGCAAGTTATTAAGAAAATGCCTCTTATTCAAAATTCATTTCTGGTTAAGAACTAAGCTTTAGCGAAGCTAAAATTAAGATATGAGTTTTTGAAGAAAATTAAATACATTTTCTAACAGAATTTTCATGGCAAGGCAAGCACTAAATAGTGAATGCCTTTAATAATTTAAAATTTATTACACATACCTCATAGCAGAGATTGATGGTAAAAAAAAGAACAGTAAAGAGAACTCATATCTTGTAAGGATCTTAAGTTTTACTAACGTTTATTTTAGTTTAAATCTTTACTATCACTTCTTATTTTCTACTTCCGACCAGAATTAAAAGCTTTAACTTATTTATGCAAATTTGTCTGGCGAACGCCAAGTACTTAAGTTGTGGCTTTTTGCCAAGCAAGAGAGAGGAAGGACTTAGTAGAAGCAGGCCGCTTGCCTTAGCAGTTTTACTCGGTTGCTGGTTGCCTTCCAGGCCAGAGGTTTAATCCTCTTGATAATTTTAAACGTATCGTAGTGTTAACAGTTCTCTGTACTACATACGGCTTCCTGTTAATATACGGCCAATCTTTGTTATTTAGGCCCTTGTTTGTTATTCCAAAGTTAAGTTAGAGTTCAGTTAGTATTTTTATATTCTTACGTTCAGACCACAAATGGTTGGTCTCTGTATTCCGAAGTCCGGAAATCATTGTAAAGAGTGAAAAATAAAGGGTTTCGTATACCCTTCCTGTGTATCTTGTCTACTTCCCACATTTATTGAACATAGCTTTAGTATGCTCCCTGTTCCGAGTTAGGTCTTTGAATGTTCCCAAAGCAAGTAAGGCGGAACACTGAACCTGATAGTGGCGCCCGACGAAGAAGAATAACCATGGCCGAGTTTCAAGAAGAACCTGTGCTGCCTGCAGAAGCGGCTCAAAATCCAGAAATGCCAGCTGCTGCCCTGGAAGGATTTGGTTACATCGTCCAGACCATGCGCGCTTCGATGAAACCAGAAGCAACATTTAATGGAAACTCACCGGTAACCAGTTTTTTGGAACTAGATGACCACTTCATGATGTATCCCGTGCATGAGTTCCAAAAAGTCACCTTAGCTACCAGCGCTTTGAGGGGCCAAGCTCTTAATTGGTTCAAATGCATAGGCAGAAGTCTCTTGGGTCAAGCGGGAAGTCCCACCTATACTTACGAAAATTTCAAGACTGCCTTAGTAAATGCCTTCCCTGTCGTAAGAGATCGTGCGAAATTAGAAGCGGAACTTTTCAGCATATATCCAGCATATAAAACAATTGAAAAATCTCTCAAGCTTTATTTTTTACAAAAAATTCACGTCTTCAAAACTCTTGTATGGAAACCCCGTCGGATCCTGAGATAATTCAAGTGATTTTTGCCGAGGTTACTTCCCCAAGTACAAGACTTTACTGAATTAATTAAAAAACCGACTATACTGGAAAAGTTATTTGAGCTAGCAATCCAGTTTGAAAGTAGAAGAACGGCGGACATTGAAAGAAGACGCCAATATCAACAACGAAACCAACTTGGTGAGCCAAGACCACAGCAAAGTCAAGCACACGGCTACGGAAGCAAAGCGAATCAGTGGGCAAGGAACCCGAGCATCCAAAAACAGCCGGCGAACGTCGACAGTTTCAATAGCAATCCAGGAAAAAAAAAAAAAGTCTCAAGGCCAGTGGAAAAAAGAAGGAAAGCATGGAAAGGAAAAAAAAAAAAACAAGATTTAAACTAAAACGGATTTCTGCTGACGGGACGGTGCGGAAATCCTAAGGCCAAGAAAACCCCTCTTCCTTCAAGTTAAATACAGTAATGGTGAAAAATTTGACTCTTCCGAAGATTGAAGTGTTGGTGAATAACATCCCAGCCACCGCACTCCTGGATACAGGCGCGCAGTGTTAATGTGTGGTAGAAGATTTTTTTAGGAAGTATTTTCGGAAATACCGCATATATAATTCGGATAATACGACAGTGTTAGCTGCGCAAGGAGACAGATGCAAGTGCATAGGTAAATTACCGCTATACGTCCGTATCAAGAACAAAAAAGTAAAGTTTATGTTTTTTATAGTAAAGAATCTGCAAGCACATATTATCTTAGGGATAAATTTTCTTTCAGAGGAAGAAGCAACGCTGGATTTTAATGAAGCGTCCCTTAAGCTGACGATGAAATCAGTTCGAGAAGAAAAAACGGAAACGCCCAATGTTAAAACCTTGACCACCTGCCTAAGGAAGAGCAACAAAGAATCCGACAAGTGGTAAGTGAATTTGCTTCGTTATTTTACTGATATTGCAGGATTTACTCAAGTTACTAACCATAGTATCGACACCGGAGATTCATTGCCAGTTAGCCACAAAGCTATACGGTATGATAAGAATAAAGAAAAAATTATAGAATGGCACATTAGCGATATGTTACGTAAAAAGATCATAACGCCCATCTCAAGTAGTTATGCTATAGCCCGGTGGTTTTATGTAAGAAAAACAATGACTATCCATTAACACATCCAAAAAAGGTGGCGTTTCGCGATTGACTATCGTAAATTAAACTCCATGACTAAAATATCCGGTATATCCGTTACCTATTATTGGAGAAATTCTAAGGAAACATAACGTCTACCAAATACATGACGACTTTAGACTTAACGACTGGTTATTTTCAAATAGGGGTTAGACCGGAGGACGTGCCTAAGACTGCTTTTATAACCAAGTCTGGCACTTATGCATTCCTGCGTATGCCGTTTGGCCTTTCAGGGACACCGGCAACACTTCAGCGATGTATGGACATTATGCTGAGGCCTGTTCTTGGAAAGTCCACATTTATCTATTAAGACGATATCATTATTACTAGTGATAATCTGGACCAACATGTACAGGATTTAAGACAAGTGTTTTCATTATTAAATGAGGCCGGTCTAAAAGTTAATGTCGAAAAGTGCAAATTTGCAGCCCCTGAATTAAAATACTTAGCAAAATATCTCAGAAAGGAATCGAGACAGACGAATCAAAAATAATCGCTGTGCAAAAGTATCCGCAGCCAAATACGGCGAAGAAGCTCTCTTCTTTTCTAGGACTTTGTTCATATTATAGGTCCTTTATAAAAGATTTTGCAGCTATTGCTGAACCATTGTTAAAATTAAAAAGGAAAAAGGCGAGATTCTCGTGGACGGCCGAAGCCAATAGTGCTTTCGAAAAATTAAAGCAAGCATTAATGCAAGCCCCTGTGTTAAAATTTCCTGAAAAGGATGAGAATTTAGAAATTTCAGCGGATGCTTCGGATTATGCGGTAGGAGCGGTACTTTCGCAAAATCAGCAGCCCGTGGCATTTTTTAGTCGAACTTTAAATCAAACACAAAGAAATTATTTCGCGATCGAGAGAGAGGCACTTGCAGTTCTGTTAGCAGTACAAAAGTCCCGAGTCTATTTTGGAAGGGCGCCAATAACAGTGTATTCTGATCATGCGGCGGTAACTAGATTGTACTCAGGGAAAAACTTATCCCCAAGGTTAATAAGATGGGCACTCAAGCTACAAGAATATAATCTGGTAATCAAGCATACCCCCGGAAA